TTTTTTTATAAATCTGATAGAATCGTTGAAACAGTCATATCATATCTGTACACTGGACAAATCGTAATCACTGTGGCCAATGTCCAACAGGTCTATGGCCTGGCCCAATGCCTTCAGCTTAATGGACTAAAAGAGTGGTCTCAGTGTTTCATAATTGAACGGTAAGTAGCAGTTTGTGTGTATTGAATGTCAGCAGAGCGTTTGGGAAATAAATCTAATAATGTGTTTACTCATTGTAGTGAAATTACTTTTCTGAGCCAACTGTGTGTCAGTAAACCCTGATGGTAAAAAGGCACCTTAAATATCAAAGAAGGAGAGCTTGTGATATCGCAACTTGAGCATAAGAGGCAAGTCGGTGAATGTATTACATTTAAGTCAGCCTAGTTGCTCAGGGGAAAGAAGAACAGTCACTGTGAGAGGTTTATTGTAAGTTTGGCGTTTCGGGTAGTTGTTTGTTACGTCTGTAAATCTTCAGGGAATGAATACTCAGGCTCATTATCTTAATTCTACGCACTCTTTTTCCGTGTGCGGATCCTGCCAGGAACATCTGAGTCACTTTATATGTTACTGCCAGTCGTAAGAACCAAAAGAATATTTCAACCTAAACGTCTACTACAACCCTCAATTAGAGGTGATACCAGTAGGCAGCCAAATCCGTCGTTCTCATGCCTTTTTCGTTATTCTTATAACAGATTCTTAATTTCTACAGTTTTTCTAGTTTACAATGGTTCAACGTTTTGTCCTAAGTCAAATTTTCAGGGAGGTTAATTAGTTGATCTCGAAGTCGGGTAGAATTCCGATGAAGTTATGTACGCCTAACCATCGGGAAGTGCCAGGCTTATTGGAGGACACTTCTCCTTTGAAATATGTTAGACTATCAAGTGAAGGAAATTTTGAACTTGCCTCTGATGATATGGTAACCCAAAAGAGACTCCATGGGAGGGGTACTAGGTGTCGAAGGCACAAGTGTCTGAAATTATACAAATGCGACAGGCATGTTTCCGAAACATCTTATTTACACTGCCAATTTTTTGCATAGCCTCAATATAAACAACATAGCAGATATCTGGTGTTTGGCGAGTGCAGTGGAACATGAGGTTTTCAAGGCACCATGCATGGAACTCATCAAACGTCACTTTGAGGAATTCGTCCAGCTGCCAGTGTTTAAGGAGGTGGACTACGATAACCTTCGCGACCTGATTCAGAGCAATGACCTCTGTGTCAGTAATGAGGAGAAGGTTGTGGATGCCATATCAAAATGGATCGAAGCTGGTGCCGAGGCTGGAGGTGAATGCAATGAACGCGCGTCAAGACTGGGTGACTTTATGGCCATGATTCGCTGGGGATACACATCAAAGGAGTTCCGACTGGCGGTCATGAGCAACCACAAATTTATAAGCAGCAGTGTTCAATGTCTGTAAGTTCATTCGTCCTTTCTCGAATTATTTGTCTTTCTTCTTGCCTCGTTTGTATTGGTAACGGCGAAGGTTATCATAACTGCCGGATGCTGAAAACATAGATTAAAAATAAACGCCCGACTGATCGGTTCTTGCTTCTCAAATGTAGAAATAGCACTGCTCAAAAATGTTTTAATTTCAGTAGTTTCAATCAGAAAACTGTCGACTTTTGCAGAAAATATTGTAAGACAGTGGATAAGGAATCCCCAGTGCACAGTAATCATTACCGTTAACTAAACATTAACACAAAACTCAGCTATAAACCTGAGCTTAGGCCTAGCGCTAACCCTAGGGCTATTCCTTCTGGATTTCCTGAAACCATGTCCGTCGAAGGTACTACCGAAGGGGAAGACGGTAATTTAGCAGTTAATGTATCTCTGCTAACACAGGCCCCCATTATTAAGACTCTGGTAAAATGAGATGGACTTTTAAAATGCCCACTATAAGAGGTAATTCATCCTATTTAAACGTACTGATTAATACTGCTGATTAATACTACTGATTAATACTGCGGTGTATAGGTGTGTAGCCATCATATTTAACGTTAAAAAAACAATTTCCCAAGGATCCTGCTTTATAATTTTCATTTGCTCTTTATCTGAACCACCTGCTATGATCGCCATATGGCTGGGGCAATCTGTGAGAATCAGATTGATAGGAACAATGTATTCTGTATAGAAGAATTAGAAGGAAGTTGCAACTCAATCTGGCATGG